TGTGTCACACGGCCTTGGGCGGGATCCACGGATGGAACCATGGCCTGGGCCTGGCTCTTGTGGGGGAAGGGAGCGCTCTTGTGGGGGACTGGCTCTCGTAGGGGGCCCTAGCTCTCAGGGGTTCCCACCTGCGTCCCCCACCCGGAGCTCTAGCCCCAGGCGTTGCCCCTCACAGGCCCGGGGAGCCCTGGTGACCCCAGCCCTCCATGTTTTCTGTGTGACAGGGGGTCATGAGTCACGGCGCAGGGCAGCGTCCCCTCTCAGGCCCAGCACTCCCTGCCACCCACTGTGCCCCTGCCCCCAAACACAACCCCAGAGGGCTTGCCCACCCACCCCACACAACCGGCCCTCACTTCGCCCTTTTCCTTTTTCTTTTGGTTGGTTGTGGGGCTTGAACTCTGGGCCTGGGCGCTGCCCCTCAGCTCTTCAGCTTAAGGCTAACGCTCTACCACTTGAACCACAGCATCACTTCCGGCCTTTTCTGCTTATGTGGTGCTGAGGAATGGAATCCAGGGTCTCATGCATGCAAGGCAAACACTCTACCACTGAGCCACCTTCCCAGCCCTTCCCTTTTCTTTTCTACCAGTTCTCTAGATCATAGAGAGAGAGAGAGAGAGAGAGAGTGTGTGTGTGTGTGTGTGTGTGCATATGCTTACCAGTCCTGGGGCTTGAACTTGGGGCCTGGGCACTGTCCTGGAGCTTCTGCGCTCAGGACTGGTGCTGTGCCACATGAGCCACAGCTCCACCCCTGGCGTGGTGGGGGTGGTGGTGGTGGTGGTGGTAGTGGTTGATTGGGCACAGAGTCTCTGGGATTTGTCTGCCCCAGGTTGGCTTTGAACCTGGATCCTCAGCTCTCTGCCTCCTGAGTAGCTGGGATTGTCTTTCTTTTGGATGGAGTTGAGCATCTGGTCCGGGTGGGTACCTCCTGCCCCGAAGGAGCTGCCCTGGGGGCCCTGGGTCTCACTGGGGGGGGGGACGCGAGGCCTGGCCCGGCTTGCAAGGCCAGGGAACAGCTCGGTGCTGACTCCACTCTGCCCTGTCCTGAGTGGTGTTGTCTTGGTCTTTGCAGGCTGGAGCTGGAGCTCGGAGCCACAAGCATGCCTGGTGAGGCGCAGCGTGAGGAGGGGCGGATGGCGCTCCCTCTGTGGGGCGACGCGGCCGGCCCTGCGGGGCCCAGCGAGGCCCGGCACGACGGCCCCTGCCCCCCGTCGAGGGACTCCCCAGAGCCGCATGACCCGGACACCGAGAGATGGCACCTGTCATTTCGGCTGTTCAGCGCCCCCGTGGACACCCACCCTGTGCAGGTGCTGTGGCAGCTGTGGGAGCTGTGCCACCTCTGGCTGCGCCCTGACCTGTACAGCAAGGAGGAGATGCTGGAGCGGCTGGTGATCGAACAGTTCCTCCTCTCCGTGCCCGAGCACCTGCAGGTGCTGGTGAAGGAGAGCGGCGTGCGCCGCTGCCGAGACCTGGAGAAGCTACTGAGGCACAGCTGGGAGCCCACCAAGTGGGTAAGTCTCAGGCTTGGTGGGAGGAGGGCAACCGAGAGCCTCCGGATGGATTCCCCAAGGCGTCGGGACTGACGGCTTTGCATGGATCCGCAGGTGGTTGTGGATGTGGAGGGGCAGCAGTGCCTGGAGCCCGTGTCCCAGCTGCAGGAGGGCAGAGCTGAGGCGGAGGTGGAGGACCAGGAGGACAAGGCCGATGAGGCCAAGGAGGAGGACGGTGCCATCGACCTGACGGCCAAGCCCCGGCCGCCCCGCAACCAGGAGCCGGTGAGCTGCCCAGAAGCTGGAGGGAGGGGGTTGATCTGGGGTGGGACCGGGCCACAGGTACCCCTCATAGAGGCCGAGTCCTCCAGCACAGGCTCAAGACAGAGGGACTTAAATCCCGAAGGAGCTTCGTTCACTCCACCCTAGAAGCCCGTGAGCGCGCTTTGCCATGGGTGGTGGCAGCCGCAGGTTTGGTTTTGTGTGTGCGCTGGTGTCGGGACTTGAACTCAGGGCCTGGGCTCTGTCCCTGGGCTTCTCTGCTCAAGGCTGTCACTTCACTGCTTGAGGCACTTGCTGGCTTTCTTTTTTTTTTTTGGATGGCTGATTGGAGATAAGAGTCTCCCAGACTTTCCTGCTCAGGCTGGATTTGAACTGTGATTCCCCAGAGCTCAGCCAGGAGCCACTGTTCCCACTGGCAGTTGGGGTTCCGGGTGTCAGGCGGGCTGGTGCAGGGGGTGCTGCCCTGCCTGGCTCCCAGGAGGTCAGTGAACCCCCGCACACCCATGCCGCGTCCTCTAGTCAGAACCAGGGAGTCGTGGGGAGACCAAGTCCTAGCCTCCAGGAGGTGGAGCTGGGTGGAAAGGCCTGTGCAGCACAGCTGGGCACGCTTCCCAAAGCGAAGTGAGGGCTTGGGTTTTGGAGTCACCTCGTGAGCCCCCCCACACACATTGTAACCCAAACATCAGCTTTTGCAGGAGGACAGCATCCCAGTGGAGGTCATGGCGGGAAGCAGCGGGGGCCAGCAGCACTCACAGAGCAAGAACGTGGAAAAGGCGGAGGCCATGAACATAGCCATGGAGGAGGATGACACGGGGGGAGACAGGACTGGGGCGCCGGGCCCATCCCCTCAGCCTCTGTCCCTGCAGGGCCCTGGTGAGTCCTAGCCCCCTGCTCCCCAGGGAGGCAGATCCCCATTTCTCAGCATGTCACCCCAACTTCCTGCACGGTCCTGCACACTCTTCCTCGGGGCTAATCCCAACACCTTTTACTTCATTGTATTTTATTTTTGGTTTTGTCCTGGGTCTTGAACTCATGGCATGGGCACTGTCCCTCAGCTCTTCAGCTCAAGGCGAGCCTCTACCACTTGAGCCACAGCACCACTTCCGGCTTTTTCTGTGTATGTGATATTGAGGAATCCAACCCAGGGCCTCATGCATGTGATGCGAGCACTCTACCACTAAGCCACCTTCCCAGCCCCCATTTTATTTTTTTTCTTGTCCTCACCTGGGACCTGAACTCAGCTGGGGCTCTCAGCTTTCAAGGCTCCCAAGTGCTCTACCTCTTGAGCCACAGTGCCACTCCTGGCTTTTGGCTGGTTCATCAGAGACAAGAGTCTTCTGGATGGGGCTAGCTCTGAACTGTGATCTTCGGATCTCAGCCTCCTTGGTGGCTGGGATTACAGGCGT